GATCCAATGCTTGGCTCCTGAACGACAGCAGGACTTTCAGCTTGTCTCACTTGCTGCTAGCTCAGGTCTACAGCAGCTTCTGTACTGCAGCTACTCTGGTGGATGTCTCGCACTCCAGCCTGAGCTCACACACAAAGAAAAGGACCCCAGAAATTCAGGCCTGTAAGTAAAGGCTCCTTTTCCCCCCTCAATCAAATCTGGCAACAAGATCCTTCAATCCACCATAAAAGGATGGTTCATCTACCTCCAGTCCTTTTCCAAGGGAATCCTTCCTGAGTACATTTTTTCAGGCTCCTCCGCTCCTGGGATGCAATTCAAATCATCTGGCAAGAAATACTCCTCCTGAGCTGACTCCCAGAAACATTCCTTAATGGACACATACCTCCAGTTACAGGGCCCTGGCAGTTAAGTGTAATTTAAGCTGATCATTATACTGGTCCATGGTGCAAGCCTGCATTATACAGTGGAAGTGAATTTCAGGTGTTTTTTACTGGCCCTTACAGAAACCATATGAAGTATTTTTCCTCGTTTTGCTATTGCTCTGCATTACTCTACAGCATCCCCAAACATCTAGAGATGTAAATATAAATGCTGGCAGGAAATACTTAATTCATAAATTTAATTAGAGGGCATTGAAAGCCTCTATAATTACTTACTGCAGCAATGGTAGCAGGAGGGTAAGCTGCTGCTGGTAGCCTGAAGGCTTTTGTTCGTATTAAGCAGTAGCAAGCAATTTTCCACATGGGAGAACAAAAAGAGCAAGTCAAGTGTATTCTGTATTAAACTAATAAGCCATCTAGGGTGAGATATTTTTTTTCCCTAAATAGGCTAGAGGTCTCTTAAAAGCACTACTTCTTACCTTTGGTGCGAGTACCCAACTGCACAATGACAGATCTATGCTGTGCACCCACCATGCTCATTTTCTGCTTCTGCTCACACCTTTCCACCAGGCTGCACAGCTGAAAGCTCAGCCGTGGGATACCTGGAAGCTGCCCTGCACTGGCTCACCAGGTCAGGGACCACACCAAAGGACCAGGTGACAGGGTGTGATTTTGCTATGGACAGGGTAGATACAGAACATCGTGGATATAGAACATCGCTTCTTTTTTTCTTTGAGAGATTAAGCTAGCACAATGCCTCAAGCTGGAAATTCAGATGAGCAAAGAACATCTTCTCCACGTCACTCTCAAAAGTGACCTTTCTTAAGCCCAAACAAACATTACGCACCAGGGGAACGGCATATCTTAAATTCAACAGGACTTCACTTCTCCTAACCAGAGGCATCCTTTTCAAGACAGCAGGGCAAGCCAAGGGACAACATGAGACATTTCTCCTACAGATGGGTTAAAAAAGCATCTGCTTTTCCACCGCCAAAATGCAAGAGGAAGACAGAGACACAGTGGAAATGGGGCAGATGAACAGTTGAGGTCTGGACACCTTCACGCCACAGCACCTTGGGCTACACATTAGAATGTGTCTCTTCTCACATCAGCCTTTTGTTCAGGCTCAGTAGGAACACTTTGAAATGTCTGCAGACTGATAAACTTTTTTTTTTTTTTCCTACACTGAATGAATAGTAATCAATGCCTCTTTTCCTCTACTTTCCCCAGGGAAGCAAGCTCTGGGAGAAACCACCACACTCGGAGAAAAATGGAGACAGGGACCGAGTTGCCTCCCTACACACTCAGCGCAGCAGCAGATCAAAGAAAATCATGAGTTCACGTTGGCAAACAGATCTGACCAAGGGTTTTTGATGGATGAATGTCTCCGGGGTTTTTGGTCTCACAATGAGTGAAGAAAAAGCATTTAGACTCAAATTACAAGAGCATTGTTCCCATTAATAAGGCAGTAACATTCACCTCCCCTCTCCATCAGGTCTATAAATTATCACTAGGAGGAAGGAGGGCCAGGAAGAGGAAAATAAAGCGGGTATTGTCTTCTCACCATAGCATTCAATCACATGCACAGCAAGATGCTTTAGAAACCTGACACAATTACAGTATAGAGGCACATCATTCCACAAAATCCTTTGGCAAGACCAGTCCTGATTACTGCACAACAGCCAGTTAGTTGTTTGGATGGCGGCTTTATGTAAATAAAATTGGTGCTGTGAGAAAAGCAGCTCATACATCTGCTTACTAATGCTGTAGCATTTAAATCTCAAACGTACACGCTCAAAATTCACACCGATACCTTAAACATTGTCCTGTAACATGTAATTAAAATGCAACTGAGTGCACAGCTGGTTCTGTTCTTTTCACTGAGGCGCCTTCTAAACCATTACTTGCATACAACCCTGGGTATACATTTTCACTTGGAATTAAAATTAATTCTCTTTTCTTGTCTTCAGCAAGGATCTAGCCTGCGGACTGTCAGTACTTTTCGGTATCACAGCTTGCTTGTGTCTGACTGCTCACAAACTCCTTCCACCTTAAAAATGAAGAGGAAATTTCCAGTGAAGAGGCCTATTACTTTTCCAGCGCACGCCTGTATCATGAGTCCCTTTACCTCTGCGTGGCAGTCGTAAGGATGCTTAGGGGAACGATGGACCTCTTACCCTTCTGCTTCAGCTCATCAGCTCCGCCAACGCACAAAATCAAAGTCCCAGAAAGTCATCTCCAGGTAGAGGACGTTTTGATAACCCAAGAGGAATATGTAGTTGAGAATAGCCAAGGAGTAAGAGATGCAAAAGAGTTTTATCCCTCAGGTGCTACTATGCAAGTGAAACTCGAATGAGCAAGGTCAGCTCGGCAGCATCTCAGTTGGTGCTTGACTGAGTAAAGACAGTGTTGTTTTTTAAACTGAAACCCAAAGCAAGCAATAAAATGAGAACAAGATGCTACCAGACAGATCAATCTACTGTCAGCTTCTTTCATTACCAAGGGAGAGACAAGACCAACTTATTTTATACTCTCCTGGAACTATCCTCTCACCTGGACATTACCACTACCATAATAGCCACAGACAGATTTAGCTAGTCCCAAGGTGTCTTTAAGCAGACAGCCAAGCAAGCAAGAAGTTCTATTTCCTCATTTTCAACAGAACAAACTGCTTAGGGTGTAATTAGACTGTGGAAAAAATAGGTCCCAACAGAAGAAAACAATAAAGAAAAGTCCACTGCAGTACCCTAAATCTGCTGCCTCACTTTCAGACTATCCAAACCACAGCACGTAGACATCCAAGTGCAGCACTGACATCTGTAACTTATACAAAAAGCAATTTCACTCTGCTGCAGGTCAGAGCAAGAGGTGGTTAGCACGTAAAGCAAAGTCAGAGGGTATCTGTTCTCCACCCTTCAGCCAGCATAGATGTTCATCACGCTGAATGGCCAAGATCCTAAGAGCATGGATGATGACGCACCGTCGAGCACGGCACCTCAAATGCTGACCACAGGTTTTCAACACCCGGTGAACACATCCAAACACATTGCAGTTTAAGCCTTCAGTGCTGAGGGGCAGAGGAACAGAAAGTTGAGTTCAGCAAAGGGATGGCCTTTGGATCTTTTATCCAGGGTAACAGGAACCGACCGCCAAGTGCTCAGGCAACAGAGGAACAATTAGCAAAAATAGTATGGGATCCAGCATATCTTCTCTACAAACAAATCTTGTTTATGTAAAGCCTAAGGGATGAGTGTGAAAGCTTGACAAGATGAAATGATGAAAGTGAGTGGATGCATAATAGACTGTCATAAACCAGAGGGAGAAGCATTTGATATTTTGTAAAGAATATATGTACTTTTTGTTTGGGGGTTGTTTTGTGGTTTTTTTTTTTTTTTTTAATCATGAAGAACAGACATTGGGTTTGTGGCAGGGAGAGAAAAAAAAACCAAGTGTTCGCAACATGCTTCGTAGTTTTATGCATCAAAACTAACTGCCAAAATACTAGCTTCCAGTTGTCTGTTTTCAAGCAAAATCTTGCTCTGCTGCCTGGGTAACCACAACACTTGTACACCGCTGATGACAGGGACCCCAGGTATTTCATCACCTTCTGTCTTTACTTTTCCCTACTAAACACAAAACCAGACAGGGAATTGTACATGTTCAGCCCACGCTGTATTTATATAAAGCTTTAAATGCTTTTTTTTCCCAGTGTTGAGGCTTTCTGAAAATGCCTGACACTGTGTCAGGTTTATCAATCAGCAATGAAGGGATCAGATGATTACTTGCCTTTGGAAGAACAGAAGCTTTATTTTCAGATGATGCAGATGAAATGAAAATACTGCTAAAAGCTGGGGTACCATTATGTGCCCGTGGTGATATGATGGAAAAGTAACTAACATGTAGTTATCTGCATCAAGAAGTTGATATGAGCTGCTAGTCCCAGGGCCAGAGCTGCCTTGACCGTACTCCTCCATACCAATGGGATTTACGGTGTGGTTAACTGGGTCTCTGGTTTCCATAATAACAGGTAGAATGCTACACGACTCCACTTACACAGGTAGACAAAACTAGATCAGAGCATGCTCAACATTTCACCAACACATATCATGACAGCACAAACATCCAGAACGGTCGTGTACAACTGTAGGAAACACCTAGGGTTCAAAAGGGGAAGGGAGTAGGGCTGTTTCACGGGGGGCAAATACATGCTTGGGATGCAGATAAAATACAGGAGTGTCTCCTTCCTTTAGGAATCCGGAGATGAGTCTGGAAAGGAAGGGTCAAGCGAGTTTCCCCTGAAACAGCGTAACTTGTGGGGTTCTCATACAGTTATACAGCAGCCGCAAGAAAACGTGATTACAGCCTCTAATTTCCTGGCCTATCAACACATAAGAAGAGGTAATGTTTGGTCTGCCAACATTAAAATAAGACCCATTTAAAAAAATAATCCTTACATCATTAAGGAAAAAAAGCACTACGATACTATTAAACAACAAAAAGCTCAGAAGAGGATACTTCAAATACTTCATTTAGCTTACACCCACATGCAGGTAATAACTAAAGAACTCTACATTAAAAAAGCCCTTGAATAATACACACTTAATTGTCTAATGTGCTCACCTTCCCATCATAGCGTTTCACTATAAACTGATCCAGGCCCAGATCTGAAAAGAGATAAAAATAAAGATACTGAAAAAAAACAACCAACCAAACAAACAAAACAACAAAATCAACAATAACAAAAAAACAACAGCAAAGCTCTTGGACTGTAAAAGTAAACATTTCTTGGGTTTTCTACTCAAGCGAGGATTAGAGAGTAAAATGCACTGTCTGAATAACATCAGTAGAAAGCGTAAGGACAGAATGAAAACTTTTTGGGCTTCATGCATTTTGTAGTTTGTATTTTGATCATAAAAGACCACAAAATCATGCATCAGAGAAGAAAACCTCCTTCTAGCAGGGACAGTAGAAGTACAGCTCCCAGCACCTCTCAAAAGTGTGAAATACCCACCCCAAAGATTTCTGCACTGTTAACAGGCAAACATTTTGCCCGTGATGCCCCATGTAAATGTATGTTTATAAAACTCTTATTGTTTTTAATAACACCTTTTGAATGGCTCACAAATGGGAAAACAAAGACTCGTTCCCATAAGTAATTGGGATATTCCAAAAGAAATCCAAAACTTGTTCATACTTTTGGATCAAATTGCTCAGAAATAGATTTTAAAGGAGATAAATTGTAGCTGCATTTGTAAGAAGCCGAGAGCTTTAGCTAGATGGACATTCTGGAGAAAGCCAGGAAGAGTGGTTATTTGTACTAGTAAATTCAATCTCTCATACCATGACAAAATGCTTTTTTCTATCTTGAAGAAGGGAAAAAAAATCCCAACATTTGCAGCGTTAAGGCACAGAGCTCTCAATCTAATCCACAAGGCCCAGCAGGCTGTATGTACACTGATGAATGCACATATAAGCAAGATGACAAAAATATTCAGAAAGATTAATTATCTGAGCTTTGCAATCCAACGTCGGGAAGATGCACCCTGAGAGGAGATTAAGCAGAATTCAAACTGAGCATTTCCTGTAATTTGGGAGAACACAGGCGAATTTTCAGTTCTCTGAAAAATAAAACCCCCTCTGCAGAGCTACATCCCATGCATTTACTGCCATTGTTTATGATAACTATCACATCCTCATTTCAATTTATATTAGAAAAAAGATGGAAAAAAAACCAAATAAAGCCTCTCCCGAGCCTGCTGCATCACCTGCTCGTGATAATAAAACCCTTCCTGTCTACTGGAAAGGTTCATCATGGTTACAGTGCAGAGAATGGAGTTATTAATTACTCCAGGGTGACCTCCTCGACCTTTCTGAACCGAAGCAGCTAAAACTCCTCTGTCACCAATTTCAAAGGTCAAGGCTATTGTCAGAGGGCTTTCTGGGTTTGTGAATATTCAAGCCAGAAAGCACTTTCGCAATATTTTGTGCACCTGACAGTAGAGTGCAAATTGTCCATTCACACACATTTTCAGACTTGAATCTTTTCCTGAATTTTGTCCTCCTCACAGCTGTGGGTATAAATGCAATACAGTAAATATTGTCACATTTAGAGGCAGGATTCATTTGATACATGTGCTTATTTCACTGTTATCTGGTTGGAGCTCGGCCCTGACCATCCATCTGGATGCTGACTGCTAAGCTGAGCTCAGTTTACGTCCGCATGTCATAATAAAGTTATTTCTCAATCACACCTCCTGTTCCCATGCCAGGAAACAGTGCTGTAAGACATACCCCTGACAGCCCGACATTATACATGTACTCACCGAAAGCTAAAAAAGGACACAGGTTAAAAATAACAAGTGAAAGTATGTCTTAATGGCACACCCACCCCCCCACCAGACACTACTACTGGGAAAGCAAACAGGTGTCAAAGGACACCCAAAATGAATGGATGCTCATGTAGATGAACAGCAAAAGATGAACTAACAACTGTTTTCTTTTATATATATATAATTAAACATGGTGTTTCCAAATCTAGATAAGCAATATTTACATAATATGTAATAATAATATATATACACAAGTCTCTAGGAACATATAGAAAAGTCAGTAAAACCAGCCAAATGAGAGCTAAAAAGGCATAATACCAGTACCTGTACTAAAGGAAGAGGCTGTCATTATAAACTTTGTACTCCGCAGATGTCACATGAGGTGGGCAAAAAGGGAGGTGATGGGGGGTATGACTGGAGGGAACTAAAAAGCACAACACCTAACACCAATAAATTGCAATAATAATAGAGTCCGCAAAAGAAAAACACACTGGTGGAATCAGGAGTTTTGAATACAAGGCAGTTTGTTCCTAGACTGGGGTTTGGTCGAGCCTCATTCACCTAAGCATGGAGATGATTGTTTCCTCGTGTTTCCTATGGCATGTAATGAAAAGATATGGAGAAACAAAGCATCTGGGTAACCTGAGACTGTTCCTGCAAGGGACAGAGTGATGGACCTTGACTTACACACAGTTGTTCTGTAGCTGCATCCAAACCCTCATGGCAGGTGTAGGGGTGCCAGGTCTGTTCTCAAGCTTAAGAGCTCCGAGCATTTAATTATTTGCTGAAGGAACTACTTACACCACCACAGCAGTTCGAAAAATGTAGATATCATTACCTATATTATGTCAGCTTCCTTCAACACAACCACATCTGTCAAGAAGCAAATACATAACCTTGGTTTATGCATGTCTCAGAGATCAGGCAGAGATTTATGTGAAAATGCAGCACAAAAATTTGTCATTTCTGCTGCTGCTTTTTTTCATGTCGCTGCATCAGCACGCCCTGGAAGACGGCATTACCTACTGCAAGCACAAGCATATTGGCTCACATCAGAGTTTTATGCTCACCCTTTCTCCCAGCCATGCACAATATCCCCTCTGCTCTGCTGCATTAACTAAGATGCACGCTTAAGTCCCTCTATAAAACTCCTCTTACCATAACTCCTGATGGAATAAGCCATTTCAAAAGCTGAAAAAGGGCATTTATATGTTCAAGGCATACAGTTCTACTTGATACATTTTCCTCTTTCCAATACATTTACTTTCTTTTTTATCGACTTAGCTACGTGTTTTTCCACAAGTCTTTAATCTTAAAAGTTGGCAAAAGGAAACAAAAAAAAAGAGGAACTGTTGCCTGATGCCTGTGTTCTTCTTTCTTTACTTTACATAAGAAACTCAAAAGACATTTCCTCCAAGACATTACAATAGGAATTCAGCATTCACGTAGGCTGGAGAGCTAATGGAAACACTGCACGAATGAGAACAATCACATCTGAACAATGAAAGGAAAGAATATTAGTTATTACATCTCTGTTATTCAAAAGGCAGTGTGCTAAGTTAAAGCTACTGCTGGATAACATGTGATACACTTGTAAAACAAATATCCTCTGGCTGGGCTATTGCTGAGAAGCTGCAGGAATGCAAGCTAATAGGCATGTTTAACAGTAAAAAAGAGCTTTTCCACCTTTTACTGAAAAGCAGGGGCTGAAATATCATTCTCCCAGAAATAGATTAAAGGATTTCCTTCACGAGAGACAGCAATGAAATTCAGTGACCTTTTCAGGAGCATACCTGGCTGCTTCATGAAGCCTCCCTGTGACTGAAGGCAGCACAACATGCACCACAGCTACTCCAGATCACACAGTGACCACCCAGAGCAGCTGGGCTTTGGTACTTGTTTCTGCTCCAACCCAGAGCTTCTGCCATGCTCTGCCCCAGAAAACACCTTTTATTTACATGAAACACTGTACAACACCTCACCTTTCACTACACAGCTGGATTATTGTGGAAGCCCCTACTGCTCCCTCAGCCCAGGGTTCTGCACCAGCCGCTCACTTTCAGCTGTGCCAGTGGTGACCTGCAGTGATTTCCAGATTGGCTCACCGTAGCCAGCTTGCTTGTAATCTTTAAGTACCACTATGTCTCACTCCTACAAATTCTGATACCACCTAAGTACTATCAGGGGAACCAAAAGAAACGGCAGCACTGCCATCTAAGCAAGTAGCATCAGCAGAAGTGTTATTTCATACTAGACTGACACCACTTACCCACCAATTCTAAGAATATAGGTCTCCGCTCTTATTCATGCGATGGTACTTTCACAGCACTCTAAAAATAAAAATCTTTGAAAATAAATCAAAATGACTTATACGCACTGCCTGCCACAATAGGGAAAGGAGTGTGTGCAACAGGAGAACCATATTCTCTGTGTTTACTTCTTTATTTTGGGGCTGTGGAGGATGTTTTAAATGGAGAAGGAATTATTTATGTAAAGGAAAAAAAACACAGCATAACCTGCTGCTACTCTTGTTCAGCTTTAGTCAAATCTGAAGACAAATGTTTATTATATTTCTATTGATTAATGAAAACATACATTACACAGATTCACTCAAAGCCAGATAATTACCACAACTTGATAAATATCAAAACAATTACTAAGATCTTCATGTTATCTTGTAAAAAAGAAAAAAAAAAGAAAAGAAAAGAAAAAGCCATGGGCAGCAGATTATAGATTGCAGTTTTAAAAAAATATTTAACAAACGAGCTTCCAGAGGAATGATTATATTCTGCCAAGAAGACAGCTGAGATCAATTAGAAACCATCATGATTTCCTCTGGGATGCCAGCAGTTTTCCACTGATGGAAAAACCTTCTCAACTCCTTCCAGTCTTTATATCCTTGTCAGATTTTTCACATTATTTGGATAATGGTTAATCATCATCTGCTTTCCCTTTTCCGTTGCCTGATATGTAACATGGACTCTTTTTCTTGGAGCTAAGTGAGCAAAAGGGCTAACTACCAAGACTGAAGAAGAGCCCGGTAACCATGCATACAACATGCTAGGTTATGGGAGGAGAAAATGCTGGACCAAATTTTCCCCTCCAGAGCTGTAAACCAGCTTCAGATTTTTGTATGAGTATTTTCCCCTGAATTTAAAATGTAATCTGCAAGAAAACAATGAGCTGGCAAAGATTTCTCAGAGGGCAATGCGCTCAGGGTTGTGTTAAAGTCCAGGAATGTTTTGTTCAAGGAACTACTTTGCTGTCATCTATCTTCCCCCCCTCCTCCAAGAGGCAAGTCAGTCTCTCTACAAGATGTGCATACATAACACAACTGATCAACTATAGCAACCCATCATGTATCCTGGAAGCCCTAATTATTTGTTTCTTCTGATGACTGTCACATGAACATGCACATAAATGCACCTTTCACTCCTCCTTGGCTAGGTTCCCGGGGTCTCCTATCACCCAAAGATGATTCCTGCCTAGGAATGATGTGTTTCATAGCAAAAAAAAAAAAAAACAAACCCAAACCACCAAAAACCTAACAAAAAACCCCAACCCCACATCTATTCACCCTCCTGGTTCAGGAAATAACCACTGAGTTACCTCTCCCTCTCACTCACATCATTCCCTAAAGACGTCCCCAGCAAATGTATTTGGAAGGGAACACAGAAGTAAGTCCCCATCCACAAACCAGAAGGGAAGTTCGGCATCTCTAGTTTCCTTCTGTGTCTTAAATATCCCAGTTGAACACCTTGCATAACTTCAGGCATCTGAACAAGCCTAGGGAGTCCTCCCCCATCCCACCAGGCCACATGAGCACTTGTCACAGCTCATGACTGGTGGTTCTGCAGAAGAACAGATTCCTACTTTACAAACTTAAAATAACAAATAATCCCTCAAGCATTGCAACAACCCAGAAGCCAGCTTGTGTTCAGCTGCTCACGAAGTCAGTCATGAAAAACAAACCATTTAAAAACCAAGAATCAAGCTATACAGTCTGATCAAGGCACCAGACATCAGCTCTGTCCTTCACAGCTCCTTTCCCCCGACACCATCCTGCGCACAGAGGCTGCAGGGGCACAGATGCTGCTGCTGGCTCAGCTTCGACAGCATGTTCGCAGTTTCTTTGCGGACCAAAAAACCAAAACCAAACCAAAAAAAACTTTCCAAGAGTTTAGGTATTTGAGCTGTTGTAGAACATGGTGGATCATGAAAGGCGTCCTTCATGCAGCAGGACCCTGGGTTAAGCAAGGAGGTTAACATTGCGATGGAAGAGCAAGATGGGTTTGGGTATAACCTGTCCTCACTACAGCATGCCGTGATAAGAAATGAAGCCTTTTTAACTTCTTTTAATCCTTACTGCAAAGACTAGAGGAACCCTGGTACTGCCTGAGTACGTCACAGCTCCTTTTTATTCCAGGATGCCCCAGAAAACTCACTTTCCCCAGAAAAATGATCAGTGCAGAATGGAAACAGAGGAAGTTAGGGAAACTGAGGGAACTCAGACCTTAGGAAAGAGGAGCACTGGGCAGGCAACCACCAAGCAGGTCCAAGCACTTGGAAACATTCACGCAGGACAACAAAGAACATGCCAGCAACGACCTGCAAGTATCAGGCACGGTTACGGCTCCTGCCAAGTGTCATGGCTTCACGTGCCTTTTTCAGGAAAAGCCCATGCTGTCTTCAAAAAGGCACACCATCTGAAAGGGGGTTTTTGCAATATGCAGTATTTTCAGGTGGCTTTGGGCTGGGGTGCAAAGCAAGTACCAGGTACAAAGCAACCATCCCTGCTCATCCAGCCCTGGAGCCCTGCAACCTCTCAGCTACTAGAGGAGGTGGGAGGAAAAAAAACGACACGGGACTGCAGGGAGCAGGTATCACTGCCCACGCGTCTGTTGGCACTTCGGCTTTTCAGATAGCATGTAAAGAATTTTTTTTATTTATTTTGAAGTAGCTTCCAAGTTTAATGACATTCTTTGGCTTATTCTGACAGACACTTCCAAGCTCAGCAAGAGTGTGTCACACCTTAAGCACATCTTGGCTACTTCAGAAAACTGCAGCAGGAAGTTTTACTGAACTATTAAGAGAAAGCAATCTGCAGGAGCTAATGAATTGGTATTCATTTTCCCCAAGCTAGCAAAGTGTAGTCTAGAATTAAGTTGACACTTTATTGACAATAAATCAAACTTTCCCCTACGTAATCCATAAAAATGAATCAGGCATAAGATATCTTGCAGTAGATTAGCAGTTTAAAAATAAATACAACAGGGACTCAGATACCTCATTACTCTTTATCACTTACATTCCACACCATTTTCTCACCATAAAATAGCAGACACATGAACAGGAAGTTACTCACTGAAATGATGACTGGCAGCTTGAGCATACAGAGCATCTCCTGCCCTCCTCATGTCTTGGCCTGCTAATGCAGGACCATAATTAATTCACAAGACCAGAAGGCAACTGCTTTGCAACACAAACCTATCAACAAATACCACTCATGGAGAACCTTGGTGTGAGTGGGACTGCAGAAAATAATCCCTAATTCAGTTCAAGCATTATCCTACCTAGCTGGTACAATTACAGCAGGCTATGTCACTACCTGAAGGAGATTTCAAGGAGCACTCCGGGCTACATCGCTACCCGAAGGAGCGCTCTGGGATGGAGGTGGGATGCTCCAGCCCCGGCGGAGGGCACACCCAAGTCGTGACTAAGAAAGCAAGCAGCCCAGGCATTTCCCTGCTAATGTATAACCCAGATTATTCCAGGAGTCAAAAATACTGAACGGATGTAAAGTGCGGAAATAAACTGGCCAGCAGGTAGCAGTCTTTGTCCTACTGTAACTTCTGGTTTTAAAATCAGACCAATTTTTTTTATTATTATTTTTTGTAACTACCAGCTTCTAAAACATTTGGGAACAAGGTTATGGCTGGTTTAACTTCACTGTAACATTACGTGTTTTACTCTTCTGCTGTTCGTTATGTATCAAAAACCTATTTACCATGATTGCAATGACGTACAGCGCTCGTAAGGAACACCCATCCTAGCAGCAGCTTCATTTAGAAGCAAGTCCATGACTGTGACGCTCCTCAAGACAGATACTCAAATCAATGAGATGCAAGATGCCCACGCTCCTGCTCTGCCTGCTGATGGACAGCCAAAGCTCCATTTCTGACTCGTTCCACTTTCCAAGAGCACCTGTAAGCATCACTACAGCAGTTTTCTTCCCTTATAGGCTGCTTTGGGTCACTGACTGGCAGCGTTTGCAGGCACTTAGAGGCACGACAGGCTTCACAGGGCCATTCAAGCAGCTCACCTAGCCAGGATAGTAATAGTTACAATAGAAAGTTGGTGGCTAAGACTGACAAATTATTTCCCATTAGTCACCTTTGCTTGCCTCCAAAGTAGGTGTTTCCTGAGCACTCTCTTCCACCCCTTTTCTGTGCATACTTTAAAATGCACCAAGCACATATATTGCATGCAAGTAGTAAAAGAGAATCAAATGTGTTGAAATTAAACGTAAGATGTTTTCTATTTTTAAGATGGCTGACAAAAAAAGAAAATACTTGCACGGGAAGACTCGCACTCAGCCAGGTGCTACTGCTTTTCAAAGTACCAATTCAAGGAGCTTTAGACAGATAAAATGGTAACACACAATTTCAGCATCTTCATCATTATCTTCTGTTTATTGCTCAAACTACTTCTTCACTAAAGATGAAACCATGTAATTTATATGAAAACCAGCCAGTTTCAGGACTTGATGAAAACTTAAATATCAATTCACCGACATGCATAACACTAATGCCAGGACTATTTTTTCTTCCCTCCCCCACACACTTCATACTGTTGTTTTCTAAACACAAGTCTACTTGGTATTTATTTAGCAGCTGTCATATAAGATATCAAAACAGTTCACAGTTTGTACATAAACCCCACTCTCAAAAAGTTAACATTTGGAGGCTGAGGTTCTTCACTAATGCCTGCAGAGAAAAGAGGAGTTTTAATTTGACAAAAGCCTGTTTTGTTCAAGATACACTGTAGGAGACCAAGAAACTTGATTTCCCACATCTCACCCAAAACACCAATCTCCTCCAAAACAGAGGAGGGGCAAAATCCTCCCGCCACCTCACAAAACCCAACCTCTGACCGAATGCTCAGAACAGAGCTTTCCAGACCAGAACAAACAGCACCAGACCTCCTGTCGCCCACCAAACCCCCCAGGTACCACAGCTGATGGTGCTTCCCTGCAATCCTCAGGGAATTTGAAGCCAGCAGAGGTGAGCCCCACCCTGACCAGCAGCAGCACAGCTCACCCAGGCACATGGGGCTGCCTGGACCCCTTTATTTCTGAGGGTTTCCTTGCCAAAGCAACTTCTTTTCAAAGGTTTGTGAGCAGTTCTTAAGATGCTTCAGGTGACGGTAACATTTCACTAGTTAAGTATGCAAGAAAGTCATCTCATCTGCTCTTCAAAGGCTCATCCCAACAAGATCTGCTGCAATAGCTCTTCAGGCAACATGGAAGCAATTAGGTTAATTTTGCATTTGGAGCCTGGAGATGGGATAGATGGCTTTAGGAGGCACTTTCTAGCCCTACCTAGCCCAGCTTCATAGCTCTCGAGCAGCATGCCACGACCAACGCTTCTGAGCCTGAACGACGGCTGTTCTCTGGCAGCACCGCGCTGCTGCCGGTCAGCCGGGTTCAAGCTGGCACAGACACGCTGCAGGCTCTGCTGGCGGGACAAGCGGGGCTCCTGCACGGCTGCACTGGCAGCTTTCTGCCTCCCTCCTGCATTCCTTCTATCTCCGCTATCCTTCTGTGCATCACCACGTTGCTGTAACGTGTGGGTTGAGGGCATTGCTTTTTTTTTTTTTTTGACTGCGGCAGCACCCTAATCAGACAGCAGCCCCTCTTTTGTGCTGTACCTCTCAGCATAACAAGAACGATACCTGACAAATAACTGTTCAATGGGAGGTTTGAAGATCAGGTAAGCAGAGACTGGCGAGTTTATTCCCCTTTGCTGTATTAGTTTCTCCCAGTACTACACCCACATTGCTTACTTTCTGGTTGTTTTTCATTCGGTGTTATCGATCTCACAAAATCCTGCGGTGTCATAAAAACCTCTGATTCACCGTGCTCATTTATGACTTTCAAAGTGGCGAAGTATCTGAAGATTTTGTCCGGTGTCGAGTAGGCTCTGATCCTGTTCTCGTATTCCATCACCTGGAAATTAAATTTAACCAGCATTAGATGTGCATAGTTCCTACCCCAACACCTTCATTAGCAGCCACCCAGAGTCCTCTAAGGGTTTTGCCACAGGACAACAAAGTTGTATGCAGCAACACGACTCTCAAAAGAAAGGGCCCAAACCCCTTATATCCTCAGCCTTTTAACTACCTGGAAAATGGGAAGTATCAGCTCCTGACATCCCAGGATGAAGAGCAAACACTAAGAGTCTTTAGTATTGATGAATTCTGACTCTTGATGATGGCAGAGGAAAAACAAATTAACAAAATCCCTGAAGGTGCTTTTAAAGACGAACATAAAAAAAAAGCACTAGCATCACATTTGTGAATCTAAAGCAGCTCAACATTTTAACCACAGTGTTCGAAGACCTAATCTGTGATTAATAAATGAAGAAAAAAGTCTTGGAGAGCTAGGAGAAACCTTTACTTTCAAGCTGAGTCTTAGAAAAAATTACTTGGGAGCCACAGCTGGTTGCTCAGTCACCCAATTTCATTTTTTCCTCTCTTCTATCACACTGGCAAAATTCTGCATAAATATTCTTTACTCAGTCCTTCTCTCCCCACCAATCTGCCACTTGCTAACTCTGCCAGCAGCAATTATTTTGTACCTAGAACCATCTCCCCCAACACACAGCTGGAATTAATCAAAGAGAACAGAAAGTTTTTATAAACAAAATGACAACATAAGAGAGAGGAACAAGGCACAAAGACCCACAGTTCATTATGTATTAGAGCAGAACACTTCCCTTCTTGGTTCAGCTTTTTATTCCTGCATTATATGCCATGTTTAGCAGTCCATCATGTACTTGAAACCTTCAGTACTTCTGGCCAAGAGCCACAGGAGAAAAAAAAACCAACCAACTATCTGCTGGAAGAGAAGAGGCAAGATCAAGGGCACTGCCAAGGCAGCTGTAGATCATTTATGGCTTTGGTCCTGTTTCAGCCTTGTCCTTTAACTCAGACAACTTCTCCACCCTAATGTTTATCAGACAGAAAACACCCTCTCTAGTTTTTCATATTTCTAGGATAAACAAGCCAACGGCTTTTAATCCCGCAAGCCAGGCTTTGGTAAAGCAACTAGGAAAAAGCAAAGCCTCTCTTCTACATTTGTTCCAGGTCAGATCTCCAGCAAACGCAACCGGAGATTATATTATCTATCATGACAGTACTTAAAGCATTCTCCCCCCCAACTTGTCAGCATCACCATAGGTTTTTCATAGTTCAGAAATGTTCTTGCATCAACTACTACAATCAGCTCCCTCTTTCCAGCAGCCACCTACACAAATGAATTTTTTTTTTCCTAGTCCCTTTTGCTACTAATCTTTGCATCTATAATCAACAAACCTAGTCCCATTTTTATTGCTTCAGCTCACAAGGTCTTACAAAGGTAAGGGCACTGAGTTGAGAGCAATTGTTTTATTGAAAAGTGACAACTTGCCATCTATCAGCCCAAAGGCAGTAAAACAACAGGCATTTTCCCAGCACTTTCCAGCTGCCAAGCTGCATGTGTCTGTCTACAGCTCCCACCTGGCTGGTGGTAACTTATTATGCCAAAGTCATCTTTCGACTTCTGATTGCAGGCCTGTATCTCACTCCTTCCTTCACCAGCAACACCCCACCCAACTTGATCAGCCAAAACCATAGTTAAGTATTTTTACCTTCAAGCAAGACAACTAAAATCCACTACAGTATGAAGCCCAGGACTGGAGCCAAGAGCAGACACCACAGACAACAAGCAGGAGCTCCTTCCATCTATGACACTCTTTCAACACAGCCTGCTTTCTAGGTAGAACATTTGTCTGCCCAAGACTTGACTTTACTCCTGATTTTCCAAGTCTGTGCAAAAATTTCTAGCAAGGCACGATCAGATGCTTTCCTTCAACCCAGCTAGGGAAGTGGCACCTCTCTTACTCAGCAACTCCACTGCTGCACCAGAGAGATTAGCCCCAACGTTTCTGCCAATAAAACCATGTTTCATTTTATCCCATTCAACTTCACATATGCAATGGATCTTGCCTCTCTATACATTTTCAGATCTTGCTAAGGTGCTACTGACAGGTCTGATGCTTTTCTTCTCATTTTTGGAGTATGGGCATTGCTGCTGTTGCTCACCTGACATCTTTACCTCCTTACCAGTCCAGCAACTTCACTGCCAACTCTTTCTTACCCCAAGTTTGAGATAATCCTCAAGGCCCCTGATTTTCTGATGGTAAGCAGACTACATTTTGCTTCAACAACTTTGCACGCAGCAATATTCCCACACCTCACTCAGACCCACGCTGAGCCCTCAAATCCACCACGATTACCACTTGCACAGAAGCGATGCATCCGTTTACTACATGGCCCTTTTCTAGATCATTTGCCATTCTGTATTTTATCCACGCATACTGCAAAATGAAAAGCTTCCTCAGATAACTGCCAGGCACTCATGAGGATGCCATTTTGAATACATGGCTCGAGAGCAGGGTGTCTGTTGCTCAAAAGCCACATACAGCTCCCAAAGCAATGTGGCACGGCTCACAAAAAAGGTTACTAACAACACAGACTAAACAAAAAGCAGGTCTCCTGTCTCAGCATCCAGCACAACAACCCCACACAGATCTGCAAACCCAGAGGATTGTACCCATGCAGTCTGTGGTTTCACAATAAATCTAAGTGGTTTTGGGTTTCCTCTCCTCTAACAAAAGCAGCTGGATGCCTTTACCTAAGCGTGCAGCAGGTGGAGAGCTGACCATCTCATTGTGTATTAGGTCTCAGAGCAGCATCATACAGCTAAGCAGGAAATTAAGGAGTTTTAACGACCATCATCTTCTGATGCAAAGTTTGCAACATCTAGCCAAAGAGAGCTGACCTGACCTAGCATCTCCATACAAGCTCAAAGCAGCTCCTCTAAGCCCACTGCAGTATAAGAAATAGGTGTTACCTGGTAAGCAATCAGAGTTTCAGATCCAGAAGGGAACATCATTATGTACAGCTACTCAAAGTTTCACAGGAAGCTACTGTCAGTTTTAATTACTTCCATCCCTTCGAGTTCCAGCAGTTAGCTGTGACATACACAAAACCACAATTTGCAGGACAAATACATTGCTGAAAAATAATAAGGAACAACTGTCTTGAATAACTCAATCTAGACCAAAAAAAGTAGAATCTAAAAAGCTTGTTTAGTATCTCTGGCTGTTTTCATCATAACCAAAATCACACTTCTTCCTCAAGCTTCCCTACAAGAAATGAACAAATGCAGCAACACCTCGTACCTTTTGCCCACAGCTGAACTCACAATTACCTCATTTTCGCTAATATGATCTAATCAGCTGGCAAAAACTACTACCCATCCCTCTGACTTCCAGATTGGATTCAACACAAAGTCAGGTCGAGAAGGGAACAGCCGCAGCCCTGCAGATGGGAACAACTCACGAATTCAACACTGGGTGCTAAACACGAAGCGGGAGATGATACTGGTGCCCTGAAATGTGGAAATGAAAACATGTGCGTGTATGTATTTGGGTGTACACACCACCATTTGCGAGGTTTTTTTACACTGCTTTGAAATAACCTGGACATAAAATCATCCCAGGAAAGCCTCTCCTCCCATGACCTCTCACCTGTGAAATACTCTAGAATACTTCCATGGCAAAGCATGAATCCAAGCAGCTGCCTTGCCCCAGTACACACCAGTCCTCAATGCGGTGGAGACCAGCCAAAACTTCTCATCCTGCCCCCAGAACTGCAGCCTTATGTAATCAGAGGCCTCCAGAAAGGTTATGTGACAAAAAGGGAAAAGTCCTTTTTTGGCATTTATTTATAGACTATGTACTGGAGGAGGAAGATGAGAAAGTAATCCCTACTGCTCTACAAGAGCAAAGCTGCTGTTGAGACAGTCAACATTGTTGCTAAGCCTCAGGTTAAAAGGAAAAAAAATTAAATCCCATGCAGACATGAAAACGAAGCTCTAAATTAACATCTCAATTCACTTCCAGAGCACCACTGGGGCCTCCCTGACGGTACAGCTGAAAGGGAACTCTGGCAGCCCAGTTCCACCACACATATCTCAGCAGGATAACTTAATTAGGATTCATTTTCTTTGGGTTTCCTACTATAATGCACACTAAAATGAAGTCATAGCATGACTAACACTCTTAAAACAGCACACCTGCAGGACCCAGCAAAGACTGCAAGCAGATCTTGGTAAAGCAGTCCTAATGCTACATGGAAATTCTTTTAGCAAATTAACATGAGCCCACTCACATCATGTATTACTGCTCATTAGCCTTCAAACTATAAAAGCACTCAATCTTTTCCTTTCCTCCCTTATGCAGTCAGGACCTATACCTTGCGTAGGCTGCAAGACAACATGTGCCCTGGAAGCAGCCACACACGATCCCAGCCACAGCAGATGCAGAGTGATTTATAATTCAACTTCCTCTTCACTGAATCACTACCTAAAATAGCAATGTCATGCCTAATTTATTATCTCACCACTAATCGTCAACTTCATTAAAAGCAACATTGGGATAACAAACAAGTGTTAAACACTTTCAGTTAAGCTTTATTTTTTTCTCAAGGAAAACTCCACACTTTTCAATTAAATATGGAAGAGTTGGAAAGGGGTTTTACTGTTTGTTTGTTTTTAAAAAAACATATAGAAGAGTCAAGAATTCCATAGGTTCTACACAACTGATTAGAGAAGCAGCACATCCTGGGAGCAGCCCTGATTTTGAGTCAAGAGCTGGGGCACTCCTTCCTCTGTTATCTGAGCTGGAAACATTCAAACATACCTCTTGAGATGACTCACTACAGCAACTGCTGATCAAACACCAAGCCCACAACAGAGCTGCTCAAACAAACACAGAACCCAGCACCTGGGAGACTACCAGCTACATCCTGCATTAAACCAAGCAAAAGCAGCACCGGCATTCAGGTGGCAGAAGGTATATTCTGTCTTAAGGTGGGAGAGAGTCACAGAATGTTTTGGGTTGGAAGGGACCTTAAAGACCATCTAGTCCCAACCCCCTGCCCCAGGCAGGCCCCCCTTCCCCCAGCCCAGGGTGCTCCCAGCCCCGTCTAACCTGGCCTGGAACCCTTCCAGGGAGGGGGCAGCCACAGCTGCTCTGGGCACCCTGGGCCAGCGCCTCCCCACCTGCACAGGGAAGAATTTCTTCCTTAGACCTCATCTAAATCTCCCCTCTCAGTTTAAAACCATCACCCCTCGTCCTATCCCCACACCCCCTGACCCAGAGTCCCTCCCCCCCTCTCCTGCCCCCCCTTTAAGCCCTGGGAGGCCGCTCGAAGGACTCCCCGGAGCCTTCTCTTCTCCAGGCTGAACCCCCCCAACTCTCTCAGCCCGGCCCCCCAGGGGAGCTGCTCCAGCCCCCCCAGCATATTCGTGGCCTCCTCTGGCCCCGCTCGAGCAGCTCCGGGTCCTTCTTCATGGACTCTCTCCAACAGGTCCATGTCTTCAACAGGTCCTTGTCCTTCTTAGAGAAGGCCTTATGTCATCAAAAAGATTGTGTGGTCTGTTTTAAACAGTGCTCTCCCCTCTGAAATTGCTGCTCCCAAGTCGAGCGCGGTAGCAGTAAGGCAGGCTGTGGACTGAGAAGGGATCCAGGCTGCATGTCATTCCCACCAGACCTCTTGGGCACCCTCCACGCCTGGCTTGTGTCTTATTTGGAAAACATGGCCACATTCCTCCCTGCCTAGTATGGGAAGGAAAGAGTTGGTCAACATAAGCACGTCTCCTAACAACTGGAATAAAAGTCTTCGCCTGCAAAAAAATGTTCTCTGGCTTCCCTATTCAAAAGCAAAAAAAACATATAAGACAAAAACTGATCATGACACTTGCATGGTTTTTAGCAATACGAATATGGATGAAGGTGCATCATTTCCTTGCTCTTTGTAACCTGCCTCCATCTGTTGACACTGGAAAAAATAACTTGCTTTTCTTGAGTGGTATGGGCAAGAGTTGAAGTTCTGCTGAAGCCGTCAGAGTACCTGACACCCAGTTGCCAAAAAAATTAGCAGAAACCAAACCCCCATATTCCTGGACAACTGAGTATATCTCAGCATAATATCTTACTACATAACTTCACTGAGCTGCCATCAGCATGTGACAACAGGGAGAGTTTGGAGAGTCCCAAATGCCACAAAGCACTTGAAATTTCAAGCTGCGTAATCTACTCTAACCAAGAACAGAATATGATTCAACAACTTCAAAATGAAACAGTTCTTAATTTTTTATTAAAAGCTGTTAAGCCACTCTATATGACCATCCACAATTTAACAGCTAATGAGATGCAGACTCCAGGATATGGACTTAAAAATAATTATCAGAAGCAAATCATACAGAAAGGAATTGTGAAGAGCATATACTCCCATTCTCCTCTTTGGCACTGCAAGGATATTAAATCATCAAACACAGCCCAATAAAACTGACATCCAGACAGGTTTAAAAAATAAAATACTGCTGTCTGCCAACTCTCAGTTATAGGACTCTCCATCAGACCAAATCATGCATCTTATAGTGTGGTTACAGATAGAACCAAACTAGTTGTCAGACAGTTCTGAGGAGCCCAAAGGTCTCAGGACTGCCCAACAGGGAAGGCAGGTCACAGGCTGACAGTATAGTTCATTACTCAAGCTTTCCTCCTCTTAAAAATGTGTCTGATAAGAAAAATAAATATGCATAAGCACCAAGAGAGAGACACAACTAACCATGAATATTGAGCGAGGCTGTACTCCAACAATTATGTTTACATAGAATTACTAACAGAAAAATTGAAGTACATCTTTGCTATAACCGCCCCTTCCACGCTCATCCTCTACTTCTTCTTACACACAGTAAGTACGGTCACAGGCAAACAGATAAACTCAGAGACAAACATGCTGAATGCCCTAAATGGTTTTAAAACTTTTGCAATGATTCCCTACTTTGGATGCACCATACTAACAGCCATCAAGGCAGGAGCTTTGATTTCTCAGAGAGTGGTTTCTCAGACATCCAACTGGAGATGGGAAAAGAGGTCTCCATTTCAGAGGATCAGTGTACTGTGCTTCCCAAATAACAAGTTTCAACCTGAAAAAATTCCCGGTAACATGCCAAGAAAGTAGGTTTCCAAAACAATTATGTCCCTTAGAAAATAAAGACAAGTACAGAGCAAAAGCCAGACTCTATACACATGCTGTACCACAGTCTGAATAAAACATTGTGCAAGTTTTCTCCCTTTTTCCACTGCAGTGTAACACACCCAAGTTTGGTACCTTACGGTCCCTGAACCCAGAACGCTTCTTCTTCTTCCCTTCCTGCTGGGCCTCCTCATTGCCTGATGCAACAGCCTTTCTACCCTCACTGCCGCTGCTCTCCTCCTCCTCCTCCTCCTCGTGCTTCACCTTCTCACTCGGCTCTGTCCTTGGATCGTGTTTTACAGAGGATGAGTCTTCTGCGTAAGCCCTGCAGAAGGGAAAAGAAAGCAATGGTTTAGGAAATTATTGAGGGGGGTGCCAGGGCTACCAAGACAGCCCTGCAGGGCTCCCCCTGAATAAAACACTTGTTACAGTTCAGCACGGAGGACTGCAAAGCAAAGAAGCAATCAATCTCCTTGGAATATTGTATGCTTTTGCCTGTTGTAATCAAATTTCTACACACACACACAAGCACCACCCCCCCCAAACCCGAAGTAATAATCACAATAAGTTTTCCTAGTCCGAGAAGACCAGAGCAAATGAGTCAGTGAATTACTGTACCCTCTCCCTAAAACTACGCATGATAGAGGATCGGGAAGGGGATACCGTACCTCCCCTAGCGCTAAATTCCACCCCTGCTACCCCCAAAAAGATTTATATAAAAGTGACAGAAATGTGTTTTACCATCAGCACTGCATGATTCAGAGAGAATGGCCTCTCTGTTTCAGCTCAACTGATTTATTTTCTATCTCTAGCAGGTGACAGGCTGTTTTATTTCCCTCTTCCACCAATGACTCTTCTAAACTCCAGTGCTACACAGGATTTGACAACAACTGGAGTTGTTTATCCTCAAGCTGAAAATACACCTCTGGCAGAGCAAAGCCCCCCTTTTTCCTTGCTGTTCAAATACAAAGATTTCCAGCAACCCTGTTTGTAGACCAAGACTCAATACTAAAAATCACTCAGTCTAAGCTGTGACCAACTCGCAGATTTGCAACTGGCAATAGGGTGGTTAAATGAGAAGCATGATGAATCTATAATCCAAACAATGCTACGGCTTTCTAACGCTTTACTTGTAAAGCGATTTATAAACAGACAGAGCTCAGACCACGTTAACATCAGTGCAAATATAATCTCTATGGATACGTTAACATGTCACAAGCAACAAAGTGAATGGTTTGACAAAATTAATTCTTTCTAAAGGACTCAAACAGCTCAAGCAAACATCCTAGCCAGCTTATAACTTAAGTGAAGCTGCCTCTAGTTTGCATTCCTAGTGATTTATTTCCGACTAATCACAGGGTACAGGGCTCGCACACAGTTAGGTGCTGCTCATTAGCCAGCAGCCAGCCTTCAGATGAAAGCTGGTGGTACTTCGGTATTCCCTGTAACTGTGAACACGGTCATTTACCACTGTGTGAGTTTATTCAAAAAAGACTGCCTTGGAAAAAAAACCCAAAACAAAACAAGATTTTTGAAATCTCCCAAGCTCTAAGCAAAAGGCTACACATACTTGATCCTACCAGCTTCCTGGAACACCAAGAGGAGTCTGTACCTGTCTCCCCAGTAACACACAGCTGTGCAGCAATCTCAGCACATCATGTTCCAAGAAGAGATGAGGGTAGGTGCTCCTTCAATTAATTTAAATGCTAAAAAAAAATAGACAACTCACTCCTTAGCAGCATCCAATAACTCACTAACAGTCAAAGTACAGGATAGATGGGGAAGGACTAAAGAACTCATATCCTTCCACAGTACTGATGGGAAGCAAGAACTTCATTATTCTAGAATAAACTCCCAAAGAGCATACTTAAGAATTGAGTGAATCATGATGAAAGCAAATTACCTTTTGTTCATATTGTGACAAGTACTTCTGCAAAGCACCAAAAGCACTTGAACAACCACTGAGATCCCAGCACTGCTTTGAAATGCAATAACCCCTGGCACTATGGCTGGCTTAAAGCAGTTTAGAGGTTTCTAGTCCACGCTGGGACAGAATACAACTCTGTCGCAAGGGTTTGATTTAATGAAATACACAAATGCTTGGTGAAAAGCCACACTAATCATGCCTTTTCATGCGAAATGGAGTCCAACGTGTCAGCCTTTCCTTTCTGAAAAGGTTTTATTTGCCAATATATTTTAATAAGTCTTACAGCAAAGCACCATCTTTAAGACCTCCACTGAGCCAAACTTTCAGACACGGGATCCAAAGCTGAGTCCTCCACAAGCATCTTAAGATCGGGAAATTATTTCCCCAGAAGAGCCAGGCAGCTGATCTGTCTCTTGGAGCATGAAGTCCACGCTGGCACCTCTCCTAAAGCCTTTCCTGAAAGTTTAATCAGTTTTGGCACATCCTTGTGGAGTTGTGGTTTTGGCTGATACACATTTTGCTAGAATAAGCTGTTGCCGGCTGAGGCTACACCAACAGCACTGACAAGGAAAGCCCTTGTGTAGGCAGGACACCAGTCTTCAGTAGCTCTGAGAGAATCTCTTGGGAAAAGGTCCTGGGGATGGAACAGCAGTAGAAAATTGATTGCTTATCTAAACAACCAAGCTATTCCATATTAAACATGCCAGAGAATAGCTGTATCAGTAAAGATTTGCTCCTGTAGTGCTTGACTGACAGCTAGCAAAGCAGGGAAAGGATAGATGAAATACAAAATCAAACATTTTCAGCAAATCCTACTCATTCCTTCAATCCATCACTCTGTCAAGCCAGCTGGCTACAGCAATACAGGCGTAGGCAGTTTGAATACTGTTGCCTTTTCCCCCCTCCCTCTAGTTTATCCAGGTAACTAACTCTGTTCTACAGTTAGATCACCATCCCAGCATACAGGCAAATTGAGCTAGGAGAATAAAAGCAGAGTTAGAAGTCTACTTCTCAAACAAGTTTTTAAACCATTACCTGCTATTCCTCACCTCCAGGCCACAGTCCAAACTACTCCCTGAATTAACCACTGAAGGATCTGCTCTCTACATACACCTACCACTCTGTGTCTTTTACATCCTGCACAACCATCCTCTGTTGAAATCCTCGGCTTCCAACAACTGCATCTTCCATACTGCACCCACATAAAGGAGTCTTTCAATGTAGATGTCAGTACAGCTGGAAAAAACCCCATAGCTCCAGAAATATCCATCCTGCCGGACTGCCATCAGCAAGTGAAGACTCTCCACCTCCTTTTTTTTTGATGAGAGTGTCTTTCCAATGGCATGCCTGTTGCTACAGCTTCCGCACAAAAGGGAAACAAAAATATAAAGACTCCCTTCACTGTGTGCAAAGACTAGCTGACAGCCTCTCTCCATGGACCATGCCTGCTCTGGACCCTAGCTGCCATGCTTCAACCCTCCCAGTCTCTTCAGTTGTTTTTTTCCCCTCCCTGAATTTGAAGCAAAGACCATATTTCCCTACTTAGTAATCTCTTCCTTGAATCCCTGGAGAAAGTCAACAATCAAACATAAGATTAGGTTAATCATCCCCAAAGAAAACCACCTAACTACCACAGAGGACTACTCAGTGCTCAATTCTCACTTGGCAAATTGTTCTTTAAAAAAGCCAAACGCATGCATCCATAGGACATACATCCTCAAAGGATCCTGGGACTCACACCATGGCACTGGCACAATATTCCACAGTTGCAGGTCTTCCAACTGAAGAAATCACAATCCCTCACTTGAAACTATTTCTCTTCTCTGAGTGACAAAAGCAGAACAGTGTGCTAAAATAACAAAGCCTTGTGCCAGAGATAACAGTGGTGTTATTCTAATCCTGAAGGCAGTACAAAACTACTTAGCTATCAGATGCTATGTAGTCTCAGAAGGAAATGTAGGAGATCTAACAAGAAGTTGGGCACTCAGGAGTCAGGAAAGACACTGCTACCAAACAAGAAGCAGGAGAGAGAAATCCTGCCTGACAGATGTGTTCTTCAGTTAACTAGAGTTGCCATTCTCCCTGTACCTAAACATCTGGAGACACCCAACCAAGGCTTAAAAGCCACTTAAAACATCAGGGCTTTCATATTGAAGTGCAATAGCAAGCTCGGACACAATGTTCATAACACCAGGCACACCCCAGGGATCGGGAGTACTTTCAGTGAGAAGCCCCCTTCTCATCCCCAGCTCAACTATATTAGGCGACTAAATTAGTTATCTGAAACTTTAATGATAAATTAACCAGAAATGATGAAGATCTACAGCCCAATTTCTCAGGATGTCACTCCACTCACAAGACTTCTTAACTACCTTCCTTCCTTCCTCATCTTTCACAGTAGTTGACACTGATGTAAATTAGCACAATGAATTTGTGGTAAGAACTGCAACGAACACACTGAAATTAAGACAGGTTCCAGAGATGAACGTGAACAATCAGATTGCAGAGACAGCTCTGGATACCAGCCATAGCTCAAATTAAATCCAAGAACATAAGGAGACAGCAGCATAGTCTGTGAGATATGGACGTCCTTCCTTCCATCCCAGCCTGCAGCAGGAACGTCCCCCCATAAAACGCTTTCAGCTCCTGACGGTGCACTCAGAAAGGAAGAGCTGGACCAACTGCAGAAGATCTGACAGGGAGCAGCAGGAATGGTTAAGGGCTCAGAACACACTGTGGGAACAACTGACCTAAGTCAGTCAGACTGATATAAAAAAGATGGAAAAGAAGGTGGTGAGATAATTGTAATAAATATAAAACAGCTGCTGCAGAACTGTTTTCTTGGCCCAGTGAAGACAACATAAGATGCAGGACACATGCTTAAGGACATCCTAAGGGAAGAAACTTACACATTGGAGAGTGAAGGAGAAACCTGTGCATACATATGTATACATACACACATAGACATACACAGAAAGCATTTAATGCTAGGGACAGGAGAACACTGGAATCAGCTGTCAGAGAGGATTGATTCCATCACTGCTCTCTCCATCACCAGCAAATTGCTAAAAATAGGTGAGACAGCTGCCTGTCAGGACTAGCTTGGAGGCACCCAGCCCTGCCTTGGCAGCAGGCTAGCTGATTTCTCACGCTCCCTCCCTCCCACTCCCCTCTTCCACAGCCCAGTTTAGGCACTGGCACCAGCATGTGGGCACAGACAGACAGGCCGGAGTGTGAGGACCTCTGCTTCAAGCCCCTTGAAGAGGACTGCTCTGAAGAAGATGAACCCAAAAGGTTTTAGGTCTGTCTCACCAGCTAACTTGGATCAGGTGGGATAACATGCCACTCCTTAGAGATGACTCCCTGATAGCCGGCAGAGGAAAACAACTGCTTCACAA